TAAACGATGAAGGTCTGGTTTTAACGCTCGAGTCTTTAATGAGACTCATGTAAACGATTAAGGTCTGGTTTTAACGCTCGAGTCTTTAATGAGACTCATGTAAACGATGAAGGTCAGGTTTTAACGCTCGAGTCTTTAATGAGACTCATGTAAACGATTAAGGTCTGGTTTTAACGCTCGAGTCTTTAATGAGACTCATGTAAACGATTAAGGTCTGGTTTTGTCTGAGAACTAACGAGCCGCTCATCTCCCTCCTGCCAGCTGCTCTTCTTCAACATCCCCCTCACCTCGTACCTCTGCTGGAGTCTGCTCCATCGCCACCGCCACAACAGCAGCTTCCGGTCCCACTTCGTGCGGTCGGGCTGTCACTGGCGACTCCTGGGGGTTCACCTCCTCATGTTGCTGCTCCTCACCTGGCAGGCCCACTCCTGCTACTTCCTCCTGGAGACCTATGGCCTCATGGCCTTCTTCCTGTCTCCTGTCCGGACCTGGGCGTTCGGGCTCAGTCTGCTTTTGATTCGCCATGCCTGGACAGGCCTGTTCCCTTTTCCTCCAGACCACGGCAAGAGAGCCGTTTCCTTATGACAGTAGCTGCACCGCTGCACCACCGTTCCCCTCACGCTGGAGTCGGATACATTTTGCTCTTTCCACCCTGAAAATGAGACAGTTTCACCACAGCAGCCATCTTTCATTTATCCAGAGCCACTTCACCATGATTACTCTCCTTTCTCCAGTGTGTTTAATATGCATGTTTTTGATGAGCACATTTCTGACCACATGCATAGCGATGTGCACGTGAAGAGCAAAATGCTGCAGATGACGGCATCAGAGCTGCTTCCTGCTGTGGCTCAAGAGGACTCATTACTTGAGATGAAGCACCTTTTGGACTTGTTGCCTTGGCCAAACGCCACCTGACCACTGCCAAAGGATGAACAGGAAGCATTTTACTTTGTTGTTTATTGACAGTTAAAGGCCGGCTGTACCAAAGTGATGCTTGTGTTTAGCTGCCAACACAAATCATGCCAGGAATACACCACATTTTAAACACCACTGTACGCTTCCTGCTTCCAGATGATCACCGTTGAGTTATTGTGGTGCAGATGAGGAATATGATGTAATGATGATGACATCAAAGAGAGGTGATCAAGTCCTGCAGTTGATCTGTTTGTGACTGTAGCTGTCTTTAACTCAAGCCGCCGCTACCTGTCTTCATGTGTGGGCATCATGAGGAACCATGAAGAACACGTTTCAGGAAGCTGCCGTTTGTTTCTCAGGAACGTGAACACTCACACAGCACGCTGGGCCCACGAGTATTCACAACTTTTTCTACTTCGTCATAGTTTAGTCAAATTGAAGCAGTCCGGCTGTGTGAAGGCTGAAAAACAAAATGAATGTGATTTATGTTGGATGAAATGAATTTATTTATCTATTCTGGTTGTGTTGTGTGATTGTTATTTTTCCTTATGGAACAAACCTGCACTTGGAGGTATTGTCAGCTCCGTACGGAGTTTGGTTTTGAAAATGGAAAAGTGTTCGCCGTCTTTTAGAAGACGTGTGTGTGAAAATGTTAGTCATGTTTTAATTTGTTGTGAGGGTGTAAAACACTAATGTCTGTTTGTTGCACTGTAATTCCAACCTTTGTAATCAGCAGCTGATAGGCTGACATGCATCAAGTATTTCAGCTGAGAAATGTTAAAGTGATGCTTTACATCTTTGAAAATGTGGATGTGTGATACAATCACAAGTTTTACTGTCTTACTATTGGAGGTGGCTCTTGAATCAAGCTCAGTTTGATGAGCTAACAGCTAGTTGGAGTGGCACCAAGACCTACAGGAACTGTTGTTTAAAACAACTCCAGTCTTAAAAGTTCACAGTAATTCTTAAACACGATGGTCATAATAAACTTTTACACTGCTGTCACTTTAACACTGCACAGTTCTTTATTAGGCAGAAATTTAAAAATATTAAGAGTTTAGTTCAAATAAACAAATCTGAACAGTTAAAGTGACCGTCTATATATATAAATATATACAGTATATATATTTATGTTTGTGTGTGTATGTGTATATATATATATATATATATATATATATA